TGTAAAACAATTGAAGGAGGTTTGTGTTTTGTAATTCCTAATCAAATTTTTTACTAAAATATATTTAGCATCTGACAACATGTATGGGTACCATTTGTAATTTAAATTTTTTTCATTTATATAAGTGTGTATATATTATATCTAACTCCAACTATGTGTTGTTTTTTTGCAGTACCTTCTATTCCAGTTCCAAACTTTGTTGTAAATGATATGCAATCAATCAGTTGGTGGTCAGTATCTTGGAAACCTATACCATCAGAGTTTGTTAACGGAATTTTACGTGGATATCGACTTGTATATTATTTGAGCTATCAATCAGGAGTTGAAATAAGTGGAGAGAAAACAAAAATTTCTTTAGATTTTGACATATACACTCGCTATTACAAACAAAAAGATCTTCTTAATTATGCTATTTACAGTGTAAGTGTTGCAGGTTTTACTGCTGCTGGAAGTGGTCCTGCCCCTGAATACCAAGCAAGTTAGTGCTTTTTAATGTAAAATTTACTGTCATTACTTTTTATGATATAATTATTATCATTTTTTGTCTTTATTATTACTTTTTTTTTTATTAACATTAGAAGTTATATTTGTTGCTTAGGAACATGCAAATGCCCTGAATTGCTTTTTGCAAACTTGTACATTAAAAAACCATTCACTTCAATTAATGGTGATTTGAATCCTAGCGGATTTTTTTTAAAGTTGTTGCAAGAGATGGTTGTTAAATCTTGCGGTTCATGTCAAGGTTACTCTAGTTCTAAACTTTACTTTAATCAATCCAAAACCGGAGATGAAACAATTAAAAGCTCAGAATTTGATTTAAAAAATGCCATAAACAAGGATGTTGACTTGAGTTTCCCTATTTATGGAATGAATGGGCGTGAAGTGGCACCTGACAGTGAGTTTTCTGTCCTACTTATGTCACCTGGAATCGCGTTGGTTGTGCGAAACGAAAACACAATAAATCAAGTTATTAACAAAATGTTGTTAGGCGTATTGAATGTGTGGCCTGTGCTGCTTATCAGCTATGCAATCGCTTCTATATTTGGCATTGCCATTTGGTTTACTGTAAATAAGTTTTCTATAATTTATAAAAGGTTTTTATTTATATATATTTTTTAATTGCTTTAAATGTAACAATAAAAAATCATTTTTCAGGATCAGTTTTCAAATCCAGAACAGTTTTCTAAAGGAAGTTCACTTCGAGGACCATTGTCAGGGTTCTGGTTTACATTTGTCACTATGACAACAATTGGGTATTTGTTATTACTAATTTACTTTTTAAATTGCAATATTTGCTATTTTTGTTAATATTTTTATATGATTTTTGATATTAAAACATTGAACATAATCATACAACTTGTTGGGGTTTCTGACCACTGTTTAACAGTAACAGTAAAACAGCAGGGTTTTTTCAGAAAAATTAAAAATAGCAAATAGTTGTTTTTCACTGTTTTTACTGTACTTATTTTTTTCATCAAAATTAAAGCAACAAAAAAATAAATACTTGAAGCATTTGCATAACAAATAAATTTAATATTAAATAAATTCTACTTTAATATTATAAATGAGTTTTAACTGCTTAAAGTTTCATTTAAACTTGAAAATGTTCAAATTTTTTGATTCCAACATTTTCAAATATAAATATCTAATAAAAAAACAAATTAAAAATTGCTAAAAAGATTTTTTAACAGCATCCTTATAAAAACTATTTTAATGGTACTTTTATTTGATTTTTTTGATAACAATTTTATAGTTTTGGATAAGTTTCTTAAGAGTTTCTTAAGTTATAAATAGAGCTTCTAGCATAGTTTCTTATTTACATTAACTTAAAAATAATTGCATAGTTCCCAGTTATGAATTATCTTTTTAATGGTGGGTTTCTATAAGTTGCTATTTTACATTATTATTTTTTTAATTGTGGGTTTCTATAAACAGCTACTTTATATCATTATTTTTTTTTTGATGGGTTTCTATAAACTCTACATCATTATTTTCCATTCATATTCTAAGCAATGTCTGCACCAAGACGGAAAACTCTAATTCCAAAAGAGTTGAAAGGTCAGTGTCAGCATTGTAACCAAATAATAAAATGCTAGAAAAAAAAATATTTAGTTGTATCTACACAGAATGGAGCATCTGTAAACAAGAAGTATGTATAATTAACCTATAATATCTAAACTGAAATTTAGATGTTTTTGGTCAATTTTATCCTAATCATGGTCTACATCTTGGAGTATGTGACGCACATTTTAGGAAAAAACATGATAATGAAGACTTAAGTATCGCCTGTAATAATGATAACAATGAAAATGATTCTTTTGACAAAAGCACTAATTTTGAAGTTATAAATGATGAGTGTGAAGATGATGTTAACTACAATGATTTACTTAAAAACTCATGCAAGTTGATGAAATACATCAAAGTATGAATTGTTCGAAATCAAGTTTTTCAATCAAAAGTCTAGATTCTACTTGGAAAGAAATTGAACTTTATCTTGATGTAAAAACTTGCTGAGAAATTCAACTTCATCTTGATGTAAAAAACTTACTTGAGCCATTGCTAAAGGCAGAAAGAGCAATACGAGAAACTTTATAAGAACTTAGGGCAGACTTAAGTTTAGCCAATAGTGTAGACAATAACGTATGCTTTTAAAGATATACCAGAGGCAATGAAACCAATTAAACCAGCTATCGAGAATCTTCGTAGAGAAGATGCAACACAGCTGCATCTTCTCTACAAAGAGCTGACACAAAATTAGAATATATGTTTGAGAAACTTTCTTTAGTTAACAGTGATTAGCAAAAAATTGATGGATAATTTGAGAATTAGAGTCGATGAACTCTTAAATACAGTTAATGTTGTTGAAGCAATATGCAGTATTTCTACAGATGAAATTATAACTCTACAAGAAGAACTTAATATGTTGCTAAAGAAAAATGAATCATCAATAGTGTTTCTTGGACAGAACAATTTTCGATGGTTAAAAGCTGAATTTACTATACAGAAAACCTATAAAAGCTTAATGATGCATTATTAACAACCAAGTCCACATCTACAGATGTTGAAAGAGTATTCTCTGTGTGCGCCAACTTTTGTACAAAAATAAGATCATGACTTTGAGATGTCATTATCAGCTCTTTTTGAAATACAAGAGCAGATAATTATAAAAAGTAAAGTTTATGTTAGGATATAAAGTATTGAAAAGAATTTTACTCTTGCGTGCATGAAGGAGGGAGGGGGAATAAAAAAAGGTACAAATTTAAAAAACAGTAAAACAGCTGTAAACACCTGTTTTTTAAATATTCTTAAACAATAAAACAGCTGCTTTTTAAAACCTATTGTTTTTCAGAAACCCTAATAAATTTTCAATTATAAAATTGTTTGGTTAAGTTGGTGGTTTCAAGCTATGAGAACTATAATAACATGTATACTTATTTGATACTTTTAATGCTTTGAATAAAAACGCAATTTATTATCTATGAAAACATTAGTAATTTTTACAATTGTAATGATTTCTCAATTTTATTCAAATTAACTAGATATGGCGACTTGAGTCCACGCTCGATATTGTCACGAACGTTTGCAATGGTTTGGTTTCTTACTGGACTAATTTTAAATGGAATTATCATTGCTTTCATAGTTACAAACTTAACGACTTTGAGTTCTTCCAAGGATTATATGTTATACAACACAAAGGTATTTAATTGAATAATATACAAAAAATTAAAAAAACAATTTGTAGGTAATTTAAATCAATTATGAGCTGTAGAAGAAACTTTCGTTTGTAACTAGTTTCTTTTATATTATCAATTGCAGGTTTTGCATTTTGATTTGATAACTTTCTTTTATCTTTTATTTTTAAGTTATATGTTATTTTTACAGGTTGCTGCATTGAACAATTCTTTAGAACTTAAACTAGCTATTACAAACAATGCAGAGGTATCTCAAGGTAAAATATTTTGAAATACTCTAATGATGATAATTTAAACATGTTTTAATTTGAATATTTTTTTAAATAGTGCGTTACACAGATATTTCATCGATGCTTGAAGATTTACAGAACAAGGTTGTTGATATCGTGTACGTTGACACGTTATTATTGTTGGGTTATCAATCTGTGTTGGACGAAAAATCCTTAACAATAATATCTCTCGATAATATAAATACTGGGTACGGTTTTGTCATGTCTGGAAGCAGTGTGGTTTTAACAATAGATATTGATAGTTTTATTGGTTCAAAAAGTAACGAAATTTCTGCATTTGCGACATCATTAAGATCAGAAATTCCAGTAAACATTTATATTTGTAGTTAAAATTTTATTTATAAGTATTATATAAAGCTTTATATTATATAGCTTTTTTATTGTTATTAGAACCTTGCTGTCCAAGATTCAAGCCAAATTATTGCAGATATTTTTTCTGAAACATCGCCCGCCTTTCAAAGCTCACTAATTTACTTGGGCATTATGATTATTCTTTTTATTGTTTGTGCTTTTACATTTGAGTTTATTATGCGTAGAAAAAAAAGCAAAATTGGAGTGGATGGTAAATTACGTTGTTTGTCTATTTAAAAAAAAAAATGTTTGTATCTTTACGAAAATTATTTTAATTGTGGTTGATGTTTTTAATTACACTTTCGTAATTTTTTTTAGCTGCTTTTAAAGACCAACTTTTTGAATTAAGACGATATATTTCTGATTTTCGAGACGAATTTGCTAAAGTTTCAGATCAAATAATGTGTCAACACGATGAAGAAAGAGTACTACTGGCAGATCTTAAAAGGTTTTATAAAAACAAAGTTAAGAGAATTGGTGTCTACGAAACAGAAAGATTGGTTGCTATGAACGATAAATATAGATTTAATCTTAATAATGTCATATTTAAACATTCCAAGTGATATACTATGTTTTTACGTTTATTTATTTTTGTCACATTTAAAAAATCCGAGTAAATGCTTTTACATTTATATATAGCATAAATTGCGATAAAATAAATTTTTAATATGTTTTATTTACCATAAAATTTTCTTATAAAATTATAAAATCTTATTTAAAGTGCGTTAAAATATTTTTTGGATTTGAAATCTTTTCAAACTTTTCAACCTTACTAAACCAAAGTTGCACTTTTTTACACAATTTCGTTATTTAAGAATTGTAAATTTTGTATTGTTAATTTATGAAAAGGTACATGTTGACGTTTTTCAATTACGAAATAACAACACCAAAAAATAAGGCATGTTTTTTAGGTAGGTCATTTTTTATTCTTAGAAACAAGAAGACGCGCAATAATTTTATTATGCATTTGAATGTTAATAGATGCAAGGTTTTTTTTAATTAAAAAATTATGTATTAAGCAGCCGTGGCGTAGTGGAGAGATTTCTGGCTCAGAATCAAAAGGTCCAAGGTTTGATGCCGGCTATGGCCAGAAAAAAAAGGATGCAGTTTGTTTAAAAAATGTTTTTTTTTTTATTAGATTTTTCATTTTGGTAATTAATTAAAGTTCATTTTGAATTTTTTTTTCATTTGGTTTAAAATGTCAGAGAATTTCAAACAAGCTTTGTTAACTTGTACTTTATAAAAATATAATTAACGCTAACATGAACTATGGTTGACGCAAGCAGTTTGATATGTCATCAAATAAAACACACAAAAACATCTCTAGTGCAATAAATTTGAAGCAGTAAATCTTTTGGACGCACTTACCGGTTTTTACATCCATTTAAAACAAACATCAGAACCATTTAAAACAACCATGACATTCATTTAAAACATCGTGACAATCAATTAAAACAATCGTGATTTTCAATTAAAACATTTAAACATTCTATATTATTTTTTAAAAAAAGGTTTTCTTTATATATTAATTATCTAATATTATATAATTTTTTTTTAATTAATATTATATTAATTTAATGGAATTTATTTTAAATTTAAATGGATGTCATGTTTGTTTTAAATGGATGCAAAACCATATTTATTTACGTATTTTTATACACATTTTTAATATACTATATCCAGTTTTACAAAAAATGGGAAATTTTGCAGTAAGAATAATATTGAAATTATATTTTAAAAATTGGCAAAGTATTTCTTGATACTGGTTAACAAATTTTGACATATTTTAACGCGCTGGTTCCACTTTGTGAGAATTTTTCTATTCACATTTTTTGCGCTTTAACTTTTGAGTCGATAAGACGTATTTCTGTTCAAGCGTAAGTTTTCAGGAGTTTTAATTTTTTTTTTTTTTCGTATTCTTTTTGTATTTTTTTTCCCCTCTTTTTCTTCTTTTTTCTAAACATTTCTTTCTATATTATTGCTTTATCTTAATAGCTTATTAATTACTTTTCTACTTATAATCATAGTATATTATATTATCTATATTCGTGTAATAAAAATGGGGTAGGTACAATCGGCAGAGCAGATCAGTTGATAGCGGCAGAGCAGATTATCCAATCAGCCATTTTTTAATGTGTGATCTGCTAAATATTATTTGGCAGATCACATTCAAATTTTATCAGATCAGATTCAAATATTATTTGGCAGATCACGCATTATTAAAATTTAATTTTTCAGATCACAAAATAGAAAACGGCTGATTGTCTGTCTGTGATAATCTGCTCTGCCGTTATTAACATTACAATGATCTGCTCTGCCAAACTGCTCTGCCGGTTGCATTATGATCTGCCGAAATATTTGGCAAATCACACAGAACACGGCAGATCACTTTTTTTTTGGAAAAGTATTGCGACAAAAAAAAACATTTATGTTTAAAAAGTCAACTCATAGTTCTTTCTATTCGAAGTGCATCGTTTTTCATAAAAATATTTGGCGATCACATAAATCACATAAAAATTCTATTATACGATCTGCCGAATTATTTGGCAGATCTCAAATTTGGAAACGACTGATTGAATAATCTGCTCTGTCGTCATTAACATTTCAATAATCTGCTCTGCCAATCTGCTCTGCTCTGCCGAATGTACATATCCATAAAAATGTCGATCAAATAACAGTTTTTGTCGTAATTCGCACACCTAGATATTTATATACATACCTATACTTATATTTAATTATATATCTTTATTTATATATTATTATTATAAAAACAGCTACAACTCAGATTTATTTGTGCTTTAGTTCGCTTATATTTTTACAGAGTTTAAATTTTTTTTTTCTTTTTTCTTTTTTCTTTACTTGTTTTAAAGAGTTTTTCTAAACCTTTCATTCTTTTTACTCGAAGTTTTAAACGCCAAAGATTAGCGCGCTGATATTTTCTTATCTATAAGCGCGCTGATATTTTCTTATCTATTGTTCTATTCGATAAGTTTTGAGAATAATTTTCCAACCTTTTTTTTTCTCCGATTTTTTTTTGCATTTTTTTGTCTCTGACAAAATCTAAAACTTATTTATTAATTGATAAATATATTTACGGAAACTTATCACTATATATTAGCAAAATATTAATAACCATTATTTTTAATACATATCTACGAAAGAAGTATATATTGTTTCTATATACACATATACGAGTTTATATATGTGTGTATGTACATATTTTATTACTACTACTTTTCTGCTGTAAAACATGCCCACGAAAATAAAACTGGTCAAAGCCAGTACAACCCCCATCACTAGTCTATATTAACCTAGACTGTATAATGTTTGCAGAGTTTAAAGCTGTAAAAGCACTCGTTGCAATTCTTGAAAACAAAGTCCTGACCTTAGAAGCAGAAAATGAAACCTAACACAAATCTTTTAGCAAACTAAAAAAACCTCAACCGGTATCATTCTCATCACTCTTCAACAACGAATCTAATGAAAGTAAAAATGATCAGAATCTATTTTTAAATAAAGTAGCAAATGAGCAGAAACAAAGACAGCAAAAAGAATCAAGTATGACAAAAATAAACGAAAATAAACAGGCAGCCGAAAATTTCTTCAGAACTGTTGATATCGACACTTCAGTTATTGTAAGAGTCAGAGGTTTTAATCATAAAAAACTTGACACGGAAATCAGAAAAACCAAGCTCATGCAGGTCACAGTCAAAGACCCTGAATCGCATGCCATAATCTTGTCGTTAGCCAGGCACCACAGTCTCGTCACACCTGAGTATAAGGATATGTTTGCTAGAGAATACCAAACGGAGGCAGAACAGCACGAATTCAACAAACTGAATCGCGAAAAAAAAGAACGAAATAATGAACTCGCAAATTTAAAGCTGCTCGACTCGCCATTTCGTTTCGTTATCCATTGACGCCTTAACTGTGTTAAACCAATTAACGCACAAGAGTCAACTGCTCACAAAAGATCAGTCTTTGTCAACATCAAGATCGTTGCAGACGCAATTGCTAATGCCTCAAAACTAAATTTCACAACAAATGTCATTAATGGAAGTTCACCCTCCACCCCAGCTAGAAAAAACTCAACAGTCTCATTCTCAACAATTCCAATCGTTACAACCACCGAGCGTCAATCTTAAAAGAAAACGCCCAACTCGAAAATCACCATTAATTCGACGTTTTCCTGTCATATCTCAGCAGCCCGAACTACCTAAAACTTACTCAGTAAAAGTTCTCAGTAACATCAATTTTTGGGCAAATAATCCATGCTCATTAAATCAAACAAAAATTGACGAGTTGAAAGCCAGAATACAAGCAACCACCAAGCATAACTGCCCACATCTTATTTTTTTTTGTTGAGACGTGGTTTACTGAGGCTTCAGATACTGCTATTGCAGGGTATAATGTCTTTTCACGAAACAGGGCTTGAAAAATAGGAGGTGGTGTAGCTATTTGCGTAAAAGCTGATCTCAATTGCACGCTCACAAACATTGAACAACTTAACAAAAACACCATTGAACAGATATGGATAAAGCTGAAACTCGAAAATGAATCACTCCTTTTAGGGTGTATTTACCGACCACCAAATAACGATGAACTTGCGCTCCTAGAAATCACCAAATTGATTCAGACTGCTACAAAGGCCCTCAAAACAATTGGTTGCGACTCCTTACTACTCTATGGTGATTTTAATTTCAGACACATTAGCTATGAAAGTATTATCGTTGGAGGAGGTGTTTCATACTGATCAACAGCTTATCTGTCATTAAGTTCAAGTCTTGTTTAAAGGAAAACCATCTTACGCAACTTGTCACTTTTCCAACCTTTCGAAATTCACGTTTTAAAGAACCAAAGTCCATCTTGGACTTGGTTATAACCAATGAGCCAGACAGAATAACTTTCTTTACTCAAGCTGAACCTTTGGGATCTACCCTTGAGGGACAAGCTCACCTAACTATTGTAGGTTCATTCGCAGCAACAATAACAAACAATGAACTAACTATAATTTCTCAATTAGTGTGGAGCAAAGCAAACTATACATCTATCTCGAACAATATTAAAAGTTATGACTGGGAGACATTATTCTAAAGTACATCAGAGGCCAAAAAATACAAACTTTTAATTGAAAAATATAATGAAGCTACTTCACTCTACATACCAAGCACCACAAAACCATACTAGCAAAAAAAAATCCATGGGTTAGTAGTGTGGTCATGAAAGCTGTAAAAAACAAGAGTAAACTCTGGGGTAAATATGTATCAGCAGGACCAGGGACGCACCAACTTATCAGAGCAGAATATAGCAAAGCAGCAAAAACCGTCTCAAAAGTTGTGAAAAAAGCAAAAATTGACTATGAGGAGGCATTAACTTCTTCGTTTAAAAATAACCCAAAGGGACTAAACTCTTGCGTGAAAAGCAAAATCAAAGTCTATGATAAAATCTATTTACTTGAAGACAGCATTGGATCGGTGACCGATAACATATTTAACATATGTAAGACATTGAATGATTATTTTTATGCTGTATTTAAAGTAGAGCCGCAAGGACCTCTACCAAGTTTTTTAAACCGGTCAACTACATTACTGGATAAGAAATTGGCTAACAAATTGAGAACAACGTGTCAAAATAGATGATACATTGTCTCAATGAAAAAAAGTGTTT